GACCTCTAAACCCCAAAATCTCTCTCTTACTTACTCTTTATTGCATTCAATTATTTAGTTTAATTTGTTCTCTAGTTTAATCAACCAACCAACTATTTGTTTGATCACTCGACCTACTAACCCTAATTGTGATTCCACAACCAAATTCGACTCTAATCCCTTGGGACGATTCCTACTTGCCCTAATTATATTTTTAGTGAAGGTAGTAGTGGCTTTATAAATGTAAAACTTGGCCTTCGCCTTAATGCACACTCTTAAGCTTATGGTGTAGCGACCGCCACCGTCATCAGCGGAGGCCTTCGCAGCCATGTCAGCGGGTGTAGGTGCTTTTAGGTCCTTAAGTCGTTTGCCCACCTCTTGTCGAACTTGCGTTCAGATATTTGCCTTTCACATTACTTTGAACACCTGGTATTTGTTCGACTTCTGAGCAATTATACTATTGGTGCTCTCTTGGTCGATCGTTTGGTCTCTTAGTTTGCCACCGAACGGGGGTCATGGTGTACAAACCCAATGCGATCATTATGAGGGTCTACCTCATTTATTCCGCCTGATTTGCTAGCGACGGTGGAGGATGAGGCTCTATCCCACGTTCCAATCATGATTGGAGCTCTGCGTTCTCTTTGCACAAGATCTCCACGACTTCCGCATTCTCCTTGCGTAAGGTCTAGATCAGCTACCAAAGTTCCTCCCGTCGATCGTTTCGGTTAACCTCCTGATGCTGCGTGCCTTCTTCACCGATCATTGTCCCGAAACGTAGCTGTGTCATCAATTGGGTCGAAAAACTATTGGGAAATCACTCGTCGCGTTTCCCACAGACGGCGCCAAATGAAGATGCAAAAAAAATGTTTCTCTATATTAGGAAAGAATTTTCTTGCACTCCAAACCAATATCCTCCTCTACATTCGCTCTCTCCTTCCATTTATAGAAGTCCACCTTTGCCCTAAAATTCCTTGTGGGCTTGGTTTCCTCTTGGGATATTGCACCACAAAGTCAAGCCCGATACTAAAAAATGAGTGGACTAGGCAATCACTGGAATTTCTTTCCGAATAGGTGGGTTGGGCCGGATTCGGCCAAATAGGATTTTATGCCCCTTCAAACATATAACAATTTATGTTTAGGGTTGTGTTGGTGCAATTGATGGAACACATGTTGATGCAGTCATTCCAGTAAATAAACAACTTGCATTTTGTGGACGTAAAGGATATTGCACACAAAATGTCATGGTTGTTTGTTCATTTGACATGCGATTCACATTTGTTTGGGTTGGGTGGGAAGGCTCAGCTCATGATTCTCGTATATTTAACAAAGTCATTGATAGGCGAGATAAACTTTCGGAAATCCCCAAGGGGTTCGTATTGACATTATGAAAAATAAAAATTGTATACTTTAACTATATTATTTCGTTAACATTAATTTTTTTTTTTTTTTTTTTTTTTTTACAGGTAAATATTACGTTGCTGACACTGGGTACCCTAATATATTAGGATATTTAGCACCATATAAAGAAGTACGATATCATTTACAAGATTTTCAAAAAAGTCGTCAACCAAAAAGAATTAAAGAAGCTTTTAATTATACTCATTTGTCACTAAGAAATGTAATTGAACGTTGTTTTGGCGTTTGGAAAGCTCGTTGGTCAATTTTAAAGCATGTAGCTCCTTTTTCATTCGAAACACAAAGATCGATTGTATTTGCATCAATGGCACTACACAATTATATAACACAAGAAGCAATAGCCATGATGAATTTCGAATGTATGATGAGGATGAAGATTATGTTGGTGACAATGATAATATCAAAAGGCAGACTAGCACAGTATACCAACAACCTTTGGGTGAAATGAGGGTCATACGCAATGGAATCGCCGCATCAATATGTGAAGCAATTAGATAAATTATTTGTTACTTTTTCCTATTAGTTCAAATTCATTTACAATTTATTTTCACCTTTTTTAAAATAAAATAAAAAACTAATTGCTTCTTTCTTTTTATTTTTTTTGAAAATAAATCTATTGTCCCATATTTATTTTTCTTTAAATAAAATTTATTACTATTTGGTGAGTTATTTATACATAATTGAGTTATATAGATGACACAATTGAAAAGAATAATGTTAGCTTCTGTAGTCCTTTTATATGGCTCAATTTATATTCAACTCCATGAAATGAGGGTAACTTTGTAAATTGAAAATTGTTTTACTCGTGTCACCGAATGCATGAAATGGCTTTTTTGTGATTTAAAACTACTTGCCAAATTGATGCTCACCAAACATATTTTTTGTATTAAAGGTCTTCTTGTAACGGTACTTATGTAAAGGCCTGCTTACCAAAAGGCCATTTGAGATTTGAAAGTACTCCCAAACGCTACCCTAGTTGTTTGTCTTGTTGGCTTTGTTTGCCAAAAAAACAAAAAAAAAAAAAAAAAAAAAACAAAAAAGAGGCACTGACCAAATTATTTATTTTTGTTTTTTTATAGTGAATTTTTCGTTTCATTTTATCTTTTTCTGCTTCTGCATTAATAAGAAGTTAGGCTAAGACTTTCCATGGACAGCCCACTCACAATTGTGCAAATAAGTTGAGGCAAGGCCAATTATTTCCATTAAGCCTTTTCCTCCTCTCTTTCCCTCAATTTTCTTTTTCCTTTTTTTTTTGCCGAGTAATTAACCCTCACTTATTTTAAAATTTTCAAGCAGTATAAATACCATATAAATATAAAAATTATAACATTGTCTTGACTAATCACACCTGACACAAAAGTAAATGCATCAATTTATTTACTTTATTATTATTTTTTTTTAATTTTACATAGTAAGTTCTGATTGAATGGTGCCCATAAATCAAGCCACTTAAAGTCACTTGTGCTCTTATCCTTCTATCATACAATTCCAACTCCGTCATTGTTGATTGTCTTCATTGGGCCCTTTCAATGGTCTGGTAGATGTGTTGACTGGATTGGATTATAGTATTACTTTATGTTAAATATAGATATATAATGAGATAGTATAATATATTTACATGGTCGTTGTGGAAACTTGAGAATCTGTCTTTTTCTCCGCCAGCAAAGCCATTACATCACTCGCATTCATACTTAATGGTCCGAGTAGCCTATATATATATATACACACACCAGCAAGTACCAGAAAGCATATATCGACCATAAATAGAATCACAAGTTCAAAGTCTTTCCAACCATAGCAGCGTTGTAATAGTAAAAAATGAAGAAAGTAGCAGAGCTGGTCTTCATCCCTTGGCCCGCAGTCGGTCACCTAGTATCGGTAGCGGAGATGGCCAACCTCCTCATCCGCGGCGACGAACGGCTCTTCATTACAGTAATAGTAATGAAGGGGGCCTATGACACCAAGACCAGTATTCATACCGAATCAATGTCTGAAGATGCGAAGTCACGCATACGTTTCGTGGAACTTTCTTACCAAGAATCAAATAGCAAGCCCGGTGTCCACTTCGCTACCTCCCTTACAGAAAACAACAAGACCCGAGTGAGAGATATTGCTGCCGGAATCCAAACCAATAGACTTGCTGGGTTTGTTGTTGACTTGCTCTGCAGCGGCATGATCGATGTGGCTGATGAGTTGGGGGTGCCATCCTACGTCTACTTCGCATCTGGTGCTGGTTTTCTTGGCCTCATGTTCCATCTCCAGTCCATCCACGATGATCAAAACATAGACATTACTCAGTTCAAGGACTCGGAAACAGAGTTGTCAATTCCATATTTTGCGAATTCTGTTCCGTCTAAGGTCTTGCCATCGATGGTGCTGTATAACGAAGATGACTGCAGCCTGTTCATAGCAATTGCCCGAAGGTTAAGACAGACTAAGGGCATCATGGTCAACACGTTCATGGAGCTAGAATCCCATGCAGTGAAGTCCCTATCGGACGGTAAGACCCCGCCAATCTACCCGGTGGGACCTGTACTCAACCTCAAGAGTGGTGAGAGGAGCCACCAATCCGATGCTATCATGAGCTGGCTCGACGATCAGCCACCATCGTCGGTGGTGTTCTTGTGCTTCGGGAGTATGGGAAGCTTCGGTAAGGAACAGGTGAAAGAGATTGCGGATGCACTAGAGTGCAGCGGCTACCGTTTCTTGTGGTCCCTGCGTCAGCCTCCACCCAAGGGAAAGGTAGAGCTTCCAAAAGAATATGAGAATCTGCAAGAAGTCCTGCCAGAGGGATTCTTGGAACGGATGGCAGGGATGGGAAAAGTGATCGGTTGGGCGCCACAAGTGGCAGTGCTGTCACACCCGGCAGTGGGAGGGTTTGTATCGCACTGCGGGTGGAATTCTACGCTGGAGAGCATGTGGTGCGGAGTGCCCATGGCAGCATGGCCTCTGTATGCAGAGCAGCAATTGAATGCTTTTGAAATTGTGAGAGAGTTGGGAGTAGCAGTGGAGATCAAGATGGACTATAGGAGAGATCCAAGAAGAGAAATAAATCAAGTGCCCTTGACAGCGGAGGAGATAGAGACCGGGATAAGAAAAGTTATGAGGGATGATGGGGAAGTTAGAAAGAAGGTGAATGAGATGAAAGAGAAAAGCAGAGAAGCCATGATGGAGGGTGGGTCATCCTACATTTCTTTGGGACGTCTGATCGAGGATGTGATTAAAAATATGGATTTCCACTCTTAAAAATCTGAATAAAGGATGCCTCTCAGTGCACGTACACTTTTCCACGAACAATGGTGGTCTTCACTTATTTTCAACTGGATACAGGTTCTCCATGAGCTGCATGTGAACTAAATCAAAACAGGAAGTCAGATCTTTAATGAGCTATCAAATGCATCTATTTTGTTTTAATGAAAAATGATATCATTGGCTGTTATTTAAATAGGATTTATATATATTGCACCTATTGCTAATCCTATTGTATTGAGGTATTTTCCCATTATGAGATTACTATCACGTGCAAAACAAAGGCAATTTCCTAGAAAGTTGTCTTCACATTGTGCGCCAGTAAACAAGTTATATAAATTCTTTGAAAATGTTGCTTGTATATATGCATAATACAATCAAAAGAATGTGCAGACTTATCTGATCTCACTTTCCATCAGAAGAAACAGAGACCACATAATAGTCTCAAACAAGACAGCATTCTTTTATATCGTCTCCCTCTCCCATATATCATGTTCCAATCATATAGAACTCAGCAGAACAAATATACTGTACAATTGTACAAGTCGGACCACAAACACAACATATATCAGCATCAAACACAAAAAGAACACAACAATAGCAAACAATATTTTCTCAACTACTTGGGTTGCTTACAAGAATCCTAGCTTTTCATTCTACTTTATTTAAGGTTGTAACTCCGGTCAAATCACATGTTGTAATGTTTTTATATACGAACTCTACCTGTATAAATTTTAGTCTTCCCTTTCATCTAGCATTACCTTCAATGTGAACCACTTCACTGTTCTTATACACTTAATGATCTTCTTTCTTTACAAATGTCCAAACCATCATAATCAATATATAGTAATTAGGGTTTTGTAGGGTTTGCCCACCACTTTCCCTATAATTAATGCCTTTATAATTATCCAGGCTAACTGATTGAATATTGATTATTGAAATATGATTCCCATCTTAAACTGCCTTTTCTCTCTTCTTCTGTATCTTCCTCTTCTTGCCTCTTTTCTTCTCCTCTATTTCTCTTCTATCGCATGCATCAGTTGGTAACAAATCTCTCCTTACCTAAATCAAGAACATATGATCAGGGTGACCCGAGGGAGAAGTTCAGATGATCGAAGGATTGAAAAAAGAAAATAGTTTTATCACTAACAGTCACTAAATAATGTGAGTAGTTGTCAAAGTAGTTGGGAAAAAAACTTTGTTGAATTGAGTAATTGAGTTGGGTAGTTCTCACTTCTCCCATGTGATAAATTATCTATAGATAAAAATACACCGTTATTTAATGCTATGCGAAGTTGTTGGGATTATATGTCTGTGCTGTTGAGTAGAATAGAGTTAAGAGACAAAAAATAATTCTTAAAAAAATACAACCTTATTCACATAAAAAAAATTCCACACAACTAATTGATTGTCTTCTAGTGGATGTATTTTACGAGGCGTAAAAGAAAATTGAGTACAAGAATATGAGCAAAAGAAGATATAGGGATAATTTTTGGAACCATGCAACTAAACCTCCTATTGTCCCGAATTGTTACGAATCTAAACTATACATCAAAGCAGAGGACAAACCAAAAATATCTAGCCATGTTCTTGACTCCCATCCATGAAGTTGAGGGACTATAAACATAACCCATATTCAAATAAATTTGTAACAATCCATTGTTCGGGCTCATAATATATTAAAAGTTGCTCCTTTTACTCAGCCTTGAGCATTGTACAAAGATGTTCTGTAGGCCAAGGCCCACCTCATTATAATCAAAGGAAATAGAATTCCATGCTACCCTGGCAGAAGAAGGTTCCACATCATTGATTACAAAACCTAGATTTGAGCTTTCATCTTATTCTTCATAAATAACTCTAGGTTTTTGAGCTTGTATTGATATATATGGTAAAAGTTATTGTTGTACATGAATCAACAAAATTTTAAATGATTTTTGGCATAACAATGTATCCTCTAGGCTATGGAGATTTGTCACATGTAATGTGTAGACTCTTTCTTATTGTGAGTGAGAGAGAGAGAGAGAGAGAGAGATGAAGATTTGGAAAGCAATTTTCTATTTTCTGTAAACCCTAAACATAAAAGGGAATATATACAAACATGAGATAGGCCAAATTACATAGCACCCACATAATTATAATTTGGCCCAACATAAATATATATACATATAAAATGTTTTAACACTCCCCCTCAATTAAGTTTGGAGAATATATATCATCTAATCCCAGCTTGAAACAGATAGCCTTCAACTGATTATGACCAAGAGCCTTAGTAAACATATCACTTAGTTGATCTTCAGACTTCAGACTTCACAAATGGAGTAAAAATATTCCCACTTAGTATTTTTTCTCAAATAAAGTGACAATCAACTTCAATATGCTTGGTGCTCTCATGAAACACAGGATTGGATGCAATATAAACAGTCGTTTGGTTATCACAGAACAATGGAATAGGAGTTTTGACTATTAGCCCAAGTTCCTCAAGAAAATGTTGTAGCCATGTCGACTCACTAGAGGTATAAGACATCACCCTGTACTCAGCTTCAGCACTAGACCATGCTCCCATTGTTTGCTTTTTACTTCTCCATGTAACAAGATTTCCGCCTACAAATGTGCAGTAGCCTGTAGCGGATCTCCTATCTGAGGGAGAACCAGCCCAGTCAGCATCGGTGAAACCTTCCATCCTAAGATGTCCATTCGGTTTATATAGCAACCTAAAACCCGGAGCTTGCTTAAGATATCGAATAATCCGAAGAACTGCATTCCAATGTGGCATCCTAGGAGCTCCCATAAACTAACTTAAAACACTATTTGCATACGAGATAGTAGGCCGAGTGATAGTGAGATAAATTAATTTTCCAACAAGACATCGATATCTGCCAGGATCATCAAATAGATCACCCTCATCTAACAAGAGTTTTGTATTTAAATCCATAGGAGAATCAACAAGACGACCACCTAACATACATATTTCTTCTAATAAATCCAACACATATTTTCTTTAAGATAAACTTATACCTTCCTTGGATCTAGCAACTTCAATACCCAACAAATATCTGAGTTGACCCAAGGCTTTAATGTGGAACCAATTCTGTAGAAACAACTTTAATTTAACAATGCCTTCAAAATCATAACATGCGATCATAATGTCATCTACATACACCACAAGAAGATGAAACCAACTTTAGTGTGAAACACTAAATGGTCTATCTGGCATCTGTTAAGACCACAGAGAACTTTCCAAACCAAGCCCTTGGAGATTGTTTCAATCCATAAAAGGCATTCCTAAGGCGATAAACAGTATGACAATACTCACCCTGAGCAACAAACCTAGGTGGTTACTCCATATAAACTTCTTCAGCTAAGTCACAATGTAAGAAGGCATTTTTGACATCCAATTGAAACAACAGCCAATTGTGATTAAAAGCAATGGAAATAAGTACCCGAATAAAAGAAATCTTAGCAACAGGGGAAAAAGTCTCATCATAATCAACACCATAGGTTTGAGTGTACCCCTTTGCAACAAGTCTAACTTTCAAACACTTAATAGAACCCTCATGAAGGTATTTATCAGTGTAAACCCATTTACAACCAACCGATTTGCAACCAAGAGGTAAAGGAACAAGATAATGTCATATTATGATGAAGGGCATCCATTTCATCGACCCAACCAAGATGAGAAAGAGCATCTTGCAAAATCTTGGGAACAAGAGTAGCAAACAATTTGGATAAAAAACAAGAGAGAGACGGTGAAACATGATTATAGGAGACAAAGTTAGATATGGGATGTGCAGTAACACAAGAGCGAGAACCTTTATGCAAGGCAATAGGACGATCATCAACCAGAGGAGGATCCTCAATAGAAGTAGACAATTGGGGGGAGGGCTCATGTGGTCGTCGAATATACACTTGAATTGTCTGTGTTGTGACAAACTCAGGTAAAGGATACACAACAGGTAATGGAAGCAACAAATCAGTATTTAAGGATGAACCAAGAGAAGTACGGAGTGTCCTCAAAAAAAGGTGACTTCCATACACACAAAAGCACTACGAGCGCTAGGATCCCAACATTTATAACCCTTTTGAGTTCGAGAATAACCAACAAAGACACATTTAATGGCATGAGGAGACAATTTAATATGTGAGCAAAGCACACACACCCAAAAACACAAGGAGACAACGCAAATAAAGGACGAGCAGGGAAAACAATTGAATAAGGGCGTTTCTAGTTAAGAACGGAAGATGGCATACAATTAATTAAGTAGCAAGCAATTAAAATAGCATCTCCCCAAAATGCATTGGGAAGATGCATATAGATCATTAATGTCCGAGCTATTTCAATTAAATGCCTATTTTTCCGATCTGCTACGCCATTTTATTGCGGAGTATAAGAACAAGAAGTTTGGTGCAAAATACCATAAGAGTCACAAAATGTAGAAATAGCACCTTTGACATATTCCATAGCATTATTAGATTGTAAAGTTCGTATAACACATCCAAATTGGACCTTAATTTCTTTAAAAAAATAATTGAAATATGGAAAAAAATTCAGAACGGTCTTTCATTAAAAACATTCAAGTCATCCTTGAATAGTCCCCTAACAAAGGTAACAAAATAGGAAAAACCTGAAATACTGACATGACAAGCAGAACCCCAAATGTCAATCTACACCAATTCAAATAAAGAAGGCCGACGATTGTCAATACGGGGAGCAAAAGATACTTTATGGTGCTTGCCAATTGACACGACTCATAGTCTAAAGTAGACACTGACTCAAGAAAAGGTAAAGCATACTTGAAGTACCTCAAGGAGGGATGACCTAACCGATAATGCCACTGGCGTACAGAAACCTGTGAATGGAGAGCCATACCACTAGTAGACGACTGGAAATCCAAGTAATAGATGCCATTCTTTTTAATGCTGCCACCAATTGTCTTCTTCGTTTTGAGGTCCTGAAAGACACAAAATGAAGGACAAAAGGTCACAGAACAATTGAGTGCTTCAGTCAGTTTACTCACAGATAATAAATTAAAAGGAAATTAAGGAACTAGTTGCACAGAAGATAATGAAATGGAAGGAGTTAGTCTAACTGTGCCCTGCCCAATAATGGGACTGAGTTCTACCATATGACAAAGTAACAAAAGATGTGAAGCCAGACTTGTGAAAATTTAAAAATAGAGATTCATTACCCGTGAGATGGGTAGATGCCCTAGAGTCAAGAACCCAAGGGGAGGATGAATTCTGTAGATCCGAAAAACATGTAATGTTACCTGACTGGGCAAAGTTAACAACATTAGCAGACTTGTGATGCGCCTGGTTGACCAAGGCACTGAACTCGGCTCGAGATAGTGTGACACTGTCACTAGTAGATGAACTCCATGGCAATACAGAAGCCGTAGAAGGTGGGCAGTCTCGGCTAAGGGAGGGAGGAGAACAAACAGTGTGAGAGGAAGAGACTACTTGATTCGCCCATGCTGGTTTTCCATGAAGAGCCCAACAGTACTCAATAGAATGATTAGTACCCCGACAATGGCCACAGTAACGAGTTTCGGTACGTCCACAACCACGGCGACCACAACCTCTATCGCGACCGCCATTGTCACGAGAACCACTTAAATTGCCTCCATACCCTCGGTTGCTACTGGGATGACCGCGACTTTTAGAAAACTGTGGGGTGACAGAAGGAATCATCATAGCTGAATTTTCTTTCACAGTGGACGTTCCATGTGAGGGTTGTGAAACCCGTAGTAGTCGAGCAAAAATGTTACCCAAAGATGGGAGTCCTCCACCACCGGCCAGTATGTGATCCCGAATACTCTGAAGATTAGGGTCTAATCCCGCAAGAAAAATAGAAACATAAAATTCTTCACGTTGTCGCTTGAGAACTTCAAGATCAGTAGTCAAGGGGTGGTACTGATTCAACTCATCCAACAAGCATTTGAAAGTACTGTAATACTCGGCTATGCCTTGACCGGACTGACGAGAATGAAACATCTTTTCATATAGTGAATATATGCGAGAAACATCCGTGTCCATAGGGTAGGTGTCCATAGGGTAGGTTTCTTTAACGGCATCCCAAATTTCCTTTGCAGTGTTCACAAACATAAAATTGGATGCAATGGAAGGTTCCATACTATTCCACAGCCCTGACATAACCATATAATTATCAGTTTCCCAGTCATCATATCCTGTTGCAGTTTTAGATGGAGGGTCATGTGTAACAAATTTCAGTTTTCGTAGGGCGCCTAAAGAAATTTTCACAGCTTGAGCCCAGACTAAGTAATTGGAATTACATAATTTTATAGTGGTAATTTGCAGTCCGACATAATCAAAATGTGGAACAGGGGACTTAATTCCAGTAGGTTCAGTGGCAACAATTGAAGTTTCTGACATGGAGGAATGCTAAACCAAAAAAAAAAAAACTTATCTCTCCCGAGATGAAGGAAGCTGTGCTCTCACACTGACTCCCAACTCTGTCCTGAGAAGAAAGAGCTTGCACGCACACTGACTCCCAAGTTTTTTTTTTTTTTAAGTAAATAAAGGAGGAAGAACTAGGAGAAGATCAGTTTCTGCTTCACCAGAGAAGGCAAGAAAATTCAGAGCAGAACCGTTCCAGGTCGGATTCCAAATATGATCGGATCTCGAATCGGGTTGAAAATCCGGGTTGCAAATCTGAACCGGGTCACTGAAGAAAACGGGTTCCAGTAGAACTGGTTTGGGCTAGCTTACTCCTGTAGCCAAACAGAGCTGTTCTTCTTCCCAAACACCGCCGATGACGCCGGGATCAATTCTGCAACTCTACAGGTAACGGCGAAGACTACAAATCTACCGCCGACCACATTTCAGTCATGCACTACGATCTGTAAAGAAGAATAAAAGGTAGGTCGCGATCGTGACTCGGCCGACGATGACGCACCGGCAAGAACTCAACCACCCAGCAATCAACACGCAGAAAAACGGAAAAAGTGAGTCCTCTGCAACAGCGAACAGATCGGTAGTCGTCAACGAAAAAAAAAATCGGGCGAAAGAACCGATGAATCTTCACGGATGGGAGCTCTGTAACTCTCCAAGCAAATTCGCAGATGGGAACTCTGTAGCCTCTGCAACTCTCCAAGCAATCACACCCACAAGCTAGTACACACCCTAGCAGTTCGGTGGCAATGACAATGGTCGAATCGTTGCTCTGATACCATGTAGATTCTTTGTTCTTGAGAGAGAGAGATAAAGCTGAAGATTTGGAAAGCAATTTTCTATTTTCTGTAAACCCTATACAAACATATATATATATATGTATATGTATATACACACACATATAAAATGTTCCAACATAATGCATATTAATAAAGAATTTTCTCTATCTCGTAACATATTACATGTACTACCAAAAGTTCTTAGATACTTGAGATTAGCTTTTTATTAAACCCAAGTTCATAAGGTGTCTTACTTGAGTTAAGCTACAGTGAAAAAAAACCAAGTGTTAAAAAAAAAAAAAAAAAAAAAAAAAAAAATTGACAAAAAAAAAGATAAAATAAATAAGTAGAAGTGAAGAGGACTTTGGTCGCACCATGGACTCGAACATTGGATTTCTAAGCATTCCCGGAGAGCTACTTGTGTTTCACATCCCGTTAGCAAAAAATAGAACTTTTTTCGCTGCAGCTCCAATTTCTTAACTTCGTCATCTATTTTTGCTTCTTCTCTTCTCTTTATTTAATTAATACAAATAAAACATATAATATACATATAATAATATTTAGATAATATAAAAACTAATAATATATGGGATAACTATGTTTGAATTTGCAAATAACCTCCTTGAACTAAATTTTGTGCATAAAATCCCTTAAACTTTTTTATCTTGTTGCAACATACCTCAAAGACTATATTATATTTCATTAAATGACCATAATGCTCTTTCGTATTGAATTACATTTTAATATATTTTTCTTATCTAAATAAATTATGAAAAAATTCATACTAATTTGATGAGATATTTTTCATTAAATTTGCATAAATTTACCTTTAAATTTTTTAATTAATTATTTAAATAAAAAATTTTAGTATAAATTTTTTAAAAAAATTAATTAATTTTTTAATTTTTAATGAATATATTACATGAAAAGAAGGTATTTTTTTCAAAAGTATTTTATTAATTTTTCATCAATATATTGTATGAAAAAAATGATATATTTTTACGATAAAAATGTTTAATACGTTTTATTATAAATAATAAAATTTTAATAATAAATTAATCAATTTAGAAAATGGTAGTTACAAATCTTTTTTTTTTCATTTTTATGATAAATTGATACTAAGAATAAAATTAAGATAAATAGTATAATATTTACATAAAAAAAAAAGTATAATTAATATTTACATAAGATAAATAGTATAATATTTAGAAAATAGTATAATTAATATTTACATAAGAAAAAAGAAAATAAAAATAAATTAATAAGAAATGAAAATTTTAATGAGAAAGGATAAAATAATCTTTTATAATAAATTTATCTTTAATTATAACAAATCAATAATTCAGGTGGACGATTTTAGTTCAAATGAGCTATTTGTAAAAGGCCAATAGTTTAGGGAGTTTTTTTATATACTTAACCCTAATATATATTGAGTACATAAAATAATAAGTTTTGTGCCCTTATCATTGGCAGTGGCAATGGGAGTGGAAGGTGTTGATGTAAGAGTGACCAAGAAAGAATATAAGATAATTTTGTCAATTTATAAAAAGTATATGGGTAAATTAATAAAATAATAAATTTACATTTTCTTACTTATCAATGAACTTCTGACCATTGGTTTTTCAAAAAAGTCCTTTATATATGTCACCAAAAGTAACAATTTTTTTTTCAAACTTGGAAGGACTTTTTGGGCCTTCAAGAAACCCCAGCCCATATTATGTTCATAAACCGCTTGGTGGACTTGTGATATTTTATATATTTTCTTCAAAGACTTGGGGTTGTGCCAAAATAAAGCGGACAAAATAGAATCTCTTTTACGGGTAGGTCCCAAACAAAGGATGCCAGTTAGATTGTTAATAGAAAATTAACACCAACATTTAAAAATTTTCAAAAAAAAATTATGCCATTCCTTCAAGATCCCGTCACACGTATATAAATTTTTTTCTCTTAAAATATGTGTATCAATCTCGCAACAATACACACATTATTTAAGTTAAGAGTTAAGAGTACGATTCGACAGTAAAATCTCAAGAACTTATCTTTCAAATTTCTACCAACTACTATATATTTTCCTCAAATATATATATATATATATATTTTAACTAATTAACCCTCACATGCTTAATTTAAAATTTTCAAGCAATATTAATATTGTATAAATGTAAAGATTATGACATCGTCTTGATTAATCATACCGTAAATACATCAATTTTATTGAACTTTTTTTACAATTTCCATGACAAGTTTTGATTCACGAGCCAATAAAATCAAACGTGCCTTTGTCCTGTCGCCACTAAAGTCAAAAGTGCCTTTGAGATTAAACATTGTGCGCCTGTGCCTTAGTCAATGGTCTAGGTTTGGTAGATGTGGACTAGATTGGATTATATTACTTTATGTTAAATATATAATGAGATATATAATATATTTAGATGGTCGTTGTGGAAACTTGAGAAGCTGTCTGTTTCCGCCAGCAAAGCCATTTCATCACTTTCATACACTTAATGGTCTGACTGGTCTATATATACACACTGCAATTACTAGAAAGCAAATATCAACCATAAATCTAAGTACAAAGTCTTCCCAACCATATCCGCATTGTAGTAGTAAAAAATGAAGAAAGTAGCAGAGCTGGTCTTCATCCCTGCACCCCCAGTCGGTCACATAGAATCGGCAGTGGAGATGGCCAACCTCCTCATCCGCCGCGACGAACGGCTCTTCATTACAGTAATCGTAATGAAGGTGCGCAAGCCATCAATGTCTGAAGACGCGAACTCTCGCATACGTTTTGTGGAACTTCCTTTCGAAGAATCAAAAAGCAAGCCCGGGATACAATTCATGAACACCCTTGTAGAAAACAACAAGACTCCAGTGAGAGATGTTGCTGCCGGAATCCAAACCAATAATAGACTTGCTGGATTTGTTGTTGACATGCTCTGCACCGGCATGATCGATGTAGCTGATGAGTTGGGGGTCCCATCCTACGTCTACTTCACATCAAGTGCTGGTTATCTTGGCCTCGTGTTTCATCTCCAGTCCATCCACGATGACCAAAACATAGACATTACTCAGTTCAAGGACTTGGATACTGAGTTGTCCGTTCCAAGTTTTACGAATTCTGTTCCCGCTAAGGTCTTGCCAACTGGGGTGGAAAACCCAGATGTGTACAGCCTGTACATAGAAATTGCCCGACGGTTCAGACAGACTAAGGGCATCGCGGTCAACACGTTCATGGAGCTAGAATCCCATGCAGTGAAGTCCCTATCAGATGGTAAGACCCCGCCAGTCTACCCGGTGGGACCTATACTCAACCTCAAGAGTGGTGAGAGGAGCCACCAATCCGATGCTATCATGAGCTGGCTTGACGATCAGCCACCATCGTCGGTGGTGTTCTTGTGCTTCGGGAGTTTGGGAAGCTTCAGTAAGGAACAGGTGAAAGAGATTGCGGACGCACTAGAGTGCAGTGGCTACCGTTTCTTGTGGGCCCTGCGTCAGCCTAAACCAAAGGGAAAGGTCGAGATTCCAAAAGAATATGAGGATCCGCAAGAAGTCCTGCCTGAGGGATTCTTGGAACGGATGGCAGGGATGGGAAAAGTGATTGGTTGGGCGCCACAAGTGGCAGTGCTGTCACACCCAGCGGTGGGAGGGTTTGTGTCACATTGCGGGTGGAATTCTACATTGGAGAGCGTATGGTGTGGAGTGCCCATGGCAGCATGGCCTCTGTACGCAGAGCAGCAAATGAATGCTTTTGAAATGGTGAGAGAGTTGGGGTTAGCAGTGGAGATCAAGATGGACTATAGGAAAGATATGATGACGGATATCTACCCAGAGCCTTTGATGGCAGAGGAGATAGAGACTGGGATAAGAAAAGTTATGACGATCGACGAGGAAATTAGGAAGAAGGTGAATGAGATGAAAGAAAAAAGCAGAGAAGCCATGATGGAGGGTGGGTCATCCTACATTTATCTGGGATGTTTGATTGAGGACCTAATTAAGAATATGGAGTTCCCAACTCAAAAATCCGTTGAACAAGAATAAAGCTTTCTCCTCTAAACCAGACCCTCTCCTCCCCTCCGTTTTTCTCCCTGCTCCGGAGTGGGGAGGTGATGTTCTATCTCCTATGGCTGCAATAAATTCAGCATGTTTCAATAAGTTAGGTCTGTATGTATTTTGTAACACCGTTTTTGTTTTTGTTAAGCTAGATCTGCTCATGTTGCTTGTTTTCGGCTAACATGAGTGGATCTGTTTTCTCTCCAACTAACTGTCCAATGTATTTCGGTTTTGGTTGTTTCCAACTTGATCTTATCTTTTTCTCCTTGATTTGATCTTGTGCTGGATTTTGGGGGTCTTCCCTTTGTAAGAGCGCCTTGTGAATGTTACTTTAAAACTGTTGCTTTAATGATAACTAGACCTTTGGATCACTTCTGTTGTTGCATTTCCCCCCTTGATAGTTTTCGTTGCAGAGCTTTGACTCTTGTTCTTTACAAATCTGGAGCCTATTCTTCATTTTTCTTGTTTTGCTTTAAGATTTATATGTATTTTCTAGCTTGGCTTTTGTCTCTGTACCGCTAATGATGGCTTGGCCTTTGCGCCTTTGCAATGATAAAAATAAATAAAAAAATCTCTCCATGTGTAACATATAAAAAATCTCAATTTTTCCTGAACCACTATATCTTTAGCTAGACAATCTTCTAAGATCCAAGTTCATGAAATTTCCATTTATTATTGTTTTTGGTAAATCCCAAGACTAAACTCTAATCACAGTAATTTTTCTTCTTGTTGTGTGAAAATATATATATATATATATATATATATATATATATATATATATAAAATAAAATAAAATCACTATTGTTTTATTGTTTTCCTCTTAATCCCTTTCTGTCAATAACCTTTTACATTTTTATTTTTATCCAAACATTTAATCCTCTTATTTTTCTGATACTACTATTCTTTTTATCTTTTGGTTGATTTGAAACTATAACCCCAGAAGATCTGCTCCAATTTGCACCACCTCAATGTATTAAAAAATAAATAAATGAACAGATTTGAAAATAGAGGTTAGAGACAAAAAAGACCTGAATCTGCCATCATGAATAAAAAATCGCGCAATATCCCAAAGATGAGTCGTACATATTCCCCATGCATAGATTTGGAGAGCCAGGGGAGCGAGAGATCAAGAGACACAGAGAGGAGAGAAAATTCGCGTTATTGGTTCTGTGTTTCCTTTTTTTCTTTTTTTCTATTTTTAAGGAAATGCCATTTTCGATCTCCTTAAAAGTCCGCTTTTTCACCTGGTACATATCTCTAAACTTTCCTAATCTAATTGCGTAAAAGGAGAGCTCGTCAATACACCCAAGAGAGCCTCCCTTAATAGCATTACTCTATCCTAAATCAAGAAAATATGATCTAGGTGACCAGAGAGAGAAGTTTAGATGATCGAAAGATTGAAAAAAGAAAATAGTTTTCATCACTAGCAGTTACTAAATAATGTGAGGTGTTCTCAAAGTAGTTGGAGAAAAAGCTTTGTTGAGTTCAATACTTGAGTTGGGCAGCTCTCTCCCATGTGATTCATTATCTATAGATAAACGGAGACAATTTGTTTAATCCTATTCGAAGTTGTTGGGATTATATGTCTGTAATGTTGAGTAGAACTGAGTTAAAAGACAAAAAATTAATTTTTTTTTTTTTTTTAAAAAACAAACTTATTCACATAAAAATTCCCCACAAATAATTGAATGTCTTCTACTGGAAGTATTTTAGGAGGCGTAAAAGAAAATTGAGTAGAAGAATATGAACAAAAGTAGAAATGGGGATAATTTTTGGAACCATGCAACTAAACCTCCTATTGTCCGGAATTGTTAGGAATCTAGACTGTACCTCAAAGCAGGGGACAAACCAAAAATATCTAGCCATGCTCTTGAGTCTTGACTCCCATCCATGAACTTGAGGGACTATAAACATAACCCATATTCAAATAGATTCGTAACAATCTATCATTTGGACACATAATATATTAAAAGTTGCTCCTTCTACTCAGCCTTGAGCATTGTACAAGGATGTTCTGTAGGCCAAGGTCCCCCTCATTATAATCACAGGAAAAAGAATCCCATGCTACCCAGGCAGTAGAAGAATGTTCCACAACCACATCATTGATTACAAAACCTATATTTGAGCTGCCATCTTATTCTTCATAAATAACTCTAGGTTTTTGAACTTGTACTGATATATCCAACACTGAAAGAGTCATTGTTGTACATGAATCAACAAAATCTTAAATGATTTTTGGCATAATAATGTATCCTCTAGGCTATGGAGATTTTTCAAATCTAATGCAAACTAATAAAATTACGCAATCTTCTAATGTCTTTATGATGTATCAATCAAAGTACACTGGAGTAATTAGAGGTAGATAGAGAAGCAAGGATGTGGGCTCGCGTGAGAAGGAAACAAAATATATCTATTCTAGTTTTATTCCCATTTACCAACATTAGAATGGACATTTATTTGATAGCAATATATAGTAGCCAGAATTCTGTGGGTCCGAGTCAAAACAATGCCTTGACGCCAGTTCCGTAACCTCAACATTGCCATGCAACCCCAAAACTCATCTTCCAGTAGCACACAAGAAACCCCAAAACTCATCTTCCATAATACCCACCTGACCACCAACAACATCACAACGAAAGCCCCAAGAAGCATTTTCTCTATCTCCTAATATATAATATATATTACCATGGGTTCTTAGAAAATTAAGATTAGCTTTTTTATTAAACCAAAGTTCATAAGGTGTCTTATTTGTGTAAAACAACAGTGAAGCAGTTGAACCTGGCTTGTAACCATCAAGAAGGAAAGACAGTATAAAAACCAAGTGTAGCACACAAGAAACCCCAAAACTCATCTTCCATAATACCCACCTGACCACCAACATCACAACGAAAACCCCAAGAAGCATTTTCTCTATCTCCTAATATATAATATGTACTACCATAGGTTCTTAGAAAATTAAGATTAGCTTTTTATTAAACCAAAGTTCATAAGGTGTCTTATTTGTCTAAAACAACAGTGAAGCAATTGAACCTGGCTTGTAACCATCAAGAAGGAAAGACAGTATAAAAACGAAGTGTAAAAAAAAATGAAAGATAAAATAAATAAATAAATAGAACTAAAGACAACTTTGGCATCATGCAACTAAACTTCCTATTGTCCCTTGCCTTAAATCAGGGAACAAACAAAAAACATGAAGTGACATTCTTGACTCCCAAAAAATTGAGGGTTATAAACATAATCCATACTCAAATAGATTCTAAGTAAAACTACAGTGGATTAACACGTGCTGCACAGAAGTAAATTTTTTTTTGTTTTTTTTTTTTTTTGATAAGTAAAGATTTCATAAAAGGCGCCCAAAAGGGGAGCGCTCCCAAAGAAAACAGAAGCCAAACACAGCAGCATTATAACCAGGGGCGGAGCTGTGGTTGTTTGGGGGGGGGGGGGGGGGGGCCATGATTCCCCAAAACTTTTTAATTTTTTTTTTTACTATCCCTAAATATTAATTAATTTCTAAATTTTGTCCCTAAATCTATTAAAAAATTTAATTGGCCCCCCAATATTTTTAACACATATATTGACCATCCAAGTTTTTTTCCCAATTTTTAAAAAAAACACATATATTGACCCAAAATAAAGAGTTTGAAAATAAATTTACTTTGTGTCTCCTTCAAATTTAAAAAAATTTCAACTTGCAACTCTTTTAACTATACTTCTAAAAGCTCAAATATTATGAAAGAAAAATTTAAGCTCATTATTATTATAGTCATTTCTATTTTTATTTTTTTTGTAAATAATTATTATAGTCGTTATCGCAACACATTGTTATTTTATTTATATAAACAAGTACAATATCTATAATATTAATTAAATAGAGAAAAAAAGGAATAAAATAACTAATATTCCCTCATGTTTAGTAAAAATGCATGAAGCATTTTTTGTCAAACATTTTTGTAAAATAGTATTTACAGGAAAAATATCTAAATTTATACAAAAATATTTATTGGTAAGTCCTAGGAATATTTGGAAACAAGATAAACTAAAGTATGGTGAGACTTTCTATTATATGCAAAATGTGCAATTAACCCCATATTGTTCAATAAACACCCTTGCATTTTTTAATTTGTGCACATAAGGACTTTGAGCAAATTCAACTATGAATGGACTAATGTAGCCTTACAATAAAATAATATAAAAAAATTGATAAAGTATATAAAAAATAATTGTGTACAGTGTGTGTGTGTGTGTGTGTGTGTGTGTGTCCCCCATTTTATCTTTTACTTCTCTTTATACAGAACGACCACTGTCAACCGTCTCCTTCACTGCCACCATCAGAAACGCCAACCACCGCCTCCACCAGCCTCAAAATCGTGACCACCGCATCTTCTTTGTTGCTCCTTCTACATCATCCCATGCATCCTTCTACCATATATTCAATCGCCACTCCATCGCCGCCCGTTGGTTGACCTAGGTTCTCACTTTCCGTTCGCAATCGCAGCTTCTTGGTTCGCAATTGCAACTCCATCTGGTGGCTTCATCACCTTTGGATGCCTCAACCACCAAAATCGAGTACTACGCCATTGTTACAGAGCTTTCCTAGACCTCAATTTCACAATTACAGCCATAGCCATCACTGTAACCCCCATGACCAACATAATTTCTATTCAATCTCATCTCTCACCACCACCATATCCTTCACGACCACCCCAGATTCCGCCATGTCCACAATTAACCTCCATATCTCAATTTCTGTTCACAATCGCAGCTTCTTGGTTCGCAATTTCTTTCTTTTAGTGTGTTGATCGATTGATTGATTTTGATGGGTATTTGGCCCTATTTGGGTGTTAGATAAAAGTAGTGGTGATGGTGTGACGGTGGCGGCAATGGAGGTAGCGAGGTGGGTGGTGGTGTATTGATGATAACGAAATGGAGATGAGAGTTGCCGTCAATATATATCGATGATGCAAAGTACAAAATTTAAAGCAAAAAATTGAGAATAATAACAAGCAATTCAACTAAATTCAACTAAACCCATATCAGATATTTGAACTAATGCCAGTAATTTGAGCTTCAGAGAGTCAGTGAGCTTGGAAGAATGTTTCTTGGGTAAGATACTTGAGAGCTGAAGTGTCTAGATGAAAATATGTGAGGGAAGAAGAAGAATATGAAGATGAGTAAACAGAATAGATGAATATGAAGGAAAGAAACCATTGGTGGATGAATTTGTGTTAAGAAAGTGTTTGTTTGGAAGGAAAATGAGATATGTTAATTATAAATTTTGAATGGATACAGTGATTTTTGTAGATGCTTTCCCGGAGCTTTCCCTTTATATTTGCATAATATATGGAATCAAGAAGGTTTAACAGAGGATAGCAAAGGTCGTGGCCAAACTCACCACAAAGATGTCTCAAAGGAGTAACAATGGGCAGTGGGTGGTGGAGGGTTCGGTTGTGTTCATGGGATTATGTTCGTGGTGGTGGTTGAAGTGGTGGGGGAGGTGGCGGCAGTAGGTGGAGAATTAGGGAGAGGGATGAAGGTGATATATATATATTACAAAGAGAGAGAGTAAATTGAGGCCTGTGGCATATTTAATTATATTTTTTTTGCTGACATTAGTAACAAGGGCATTTTAGGATTTTTGTATAAAAATTGGTCAAAATTAACAAATAGGGGGCAATTTGCTCCAAAGTTTGAAAATATAGGGATTTATATGCACTTATTATCTAATAGGTATGTTTCTTGCACTTTTTGTATATAACGAGTGGGTTTTTTGCACTTAACCCTAACAAATTTTATAACTATTTGTATCTTGGTTAATAACTCAATAATAATCTTGTTGAATTTAAAATAATTTTTTTGAGTTAAAAATCATTATGTTTTTCTAATCTTTTATCTATGTATATCCTTCCCAAGTGGAATCAAAGTACTTAATTTTCTTCTTCGAAAAATTAGATTTTTAAAAAACTGAAACAATAAGGAAAATTGATTTTCTAACAATGCTTATTTCTTTACGTTTCTTCTCCATAATTTTCTTTCTAACATCATTTTTATTTTTTTTGGTCTAAGTTGTATTTTTCTCATTTTTTAATTTTCTCAAGGTATATATACTATGACTAGTATTTTTAAAAAAAAAAAATTATATTACAATAAATTTGCTTTATTTTTGTTACATAGTTCAAATCCTCACTTCACCCCTGCCCCTCCCACCTTAACTTTCTGGCTCCGCCCCTGACTATAACCTTAAACTATTCACAAAATCCAAAAGATGTTCCATAGAGGTACAATCCCGCCCATTTACCCAAAAGAATAAAGAAGATAAAATATTGTATTTAAGTGACCAAATGGGAGACTCCTCTCCCTCAAAAGATCTCCTATTCCTCTCGCACTACAAACCCCCGCCAAATACAAAGGGGAGTGGCCCTCCAAGCATCTCTAACTCAGCTTTCTAGTATACACCCTTTCCAAGCCTCTAACATATCAATCGTGGTTTCTGGAAAGACCCAGAACATACCAAAGACAATAAAAAACATAGAGATAACATATTTATATTGCAATGAGGCAATTTTTACTTTATTATCAATAAACCAATATATCTATGTAAAGTCACCAATAACAATAACTACAGAGTACCAAGTAATTTGTGCAAGGAAATAAGTGCATCCAAAATGAAGAACTTTGAATTATTCCTTTTATTTCATTAGTATATTGACCATTTGGAAAACTATCTGCAAGCAATGCAATCAATATGATGTACTACAATGAATTTTACAATACAATGGGGGGTGAATAGTGGTTTAAACATTATTAAACTGTAAGAAAATCCAAACCCGATAACTATAATCATTATAGACATAACAAACTAATTTTTCTAGGTTTATTCATGCACACATCTACGATCAACAAGCATAAGTTATTTTCCTCCGAAGAATCCTTTGATTACATAATAAAAATGGAGCCATCATATCCATTTAGTGAGAGCAATAGTTGTTCAATTTTCTTAACCAAGCTTGCATATAGTTAGAAAATTTATCAATCCATTAATTACAAACCCTCCCAATTACATGTAAAATGTACTCGCAATAAGGAAACACAATAAATTAAGCTAGGAATGCACCCTTCTGCTGTCACATAAAGTGCTAGTTTAAATGGGCATCGTCATGATCCGTGTAAAATAATTAGAAATGGACAGTTAACATTAGGTGGGAGAAAAAAAAAAAAAAAAAAAAAAAAAAAAAACCGGAAAAAAAATGAAAATCAATTCTTAATTTTATCATAGAAAATTCAATGTATGGAGAATGAAGTAACACAAATTGACCAACAGAGAGTACCGTACCTGCTTAAACCTCTGAAGCATCACAAATTGTCCAAAAGAGAGTACCGTACCTGCTTAAATGTCTCCTTAGTCTGGTCTGCCTGCAGTTCATTGTTTCCCCTTTCAGAAACAATTGAGTAATTGACAATTGATTATAAATAAATACAATTCTAAAATGAATGAAGTCATGATGGAACTGCAGGTCAGCACTATGATGTTTTTTATGATATTAATTAATGACCACCAAAATGCAGAGAAATTGATTGTAAAAAAAATCAACCACCACCACCAGTTTAACAGCATGACAAGCAAAAGAAATTGAGAAAAGGGAGGGGGGGGGGGGGGGGGGGGGGGGGGGGGGGGGGTAGCAAAATCACCAAATTACTGCTTGCATGTCCAAAATCATGCATTGTTAGCAATCTTAAACCATTGAATAAGCATATAAACAGTCCTAGACCTTGTATAGGGTCAATCACAATACAACTATTTATCTATGGGATGAAAGCACCATATAAGCAAGTATTGAAAGTATACAAGTATGTTTCAATGTTACCATGTAACATATTAATAAAATGAAAAGAATTAATCACCAATTGGGAATCTTAAATTGACCGAACAGAAGCCGCGGCTAGCAGCTTTAATCACAAAATTACAAATGAACAGAGAAATAAATTCTGTAATTTGAGTATGCTTTCTACATATGGAACTGTGCGTTACAATAATTGGCATTCCATATATGTCATCAAAAGTTTGACCTCCAGCAACGGTAATTAGCTACAAATTATATCGAGAAATTGAACACAAAACCATACCTATTCCTTCAAAAGCCATGCATTCCAACCTCGGCGGCGGAGACACCCACCACCAAAGCCATAGTCGAAGGCGGCGGGAAACGGCTCAGTATCGCCATAGATGTTATTGAGGAGCTCCTCCTCCATGTTCTTGGAACCAAAACTTCATCTCATCGGTTTAGAGGTCGGGGACCGTGAGGGAATTTTGTATAAAGCAATGTTGGTACGGTACTACTAGATGGCACAGCCGTGGATAAAATAATCTAGAGCCCAATCCAGTGCGAGTGGATTTTCTTTTTAGGGTTAAATTCATTTAGACCCCTGTAGTTTGTCAATACTACAAGCAGACCCCATATTTGTATAATTTCAATCAGACTCTACTCTCATGTTATTTTGAACTGAACTTAATTCACACTTTACTCTCATTTTATTTTGAACTAAACTTATTTCAACTTTAAATCCAAAACACGAATTCGGTATCCCAAAACATAACATTAGTATATTTTATATTTTTTTTTTCATCTCAAAGTTGAATTTCCCATTAACAATCAGTAACTACTCATTAACAATGATGGCGCCATGCATTCCGCCGAGACATGGATTCTGTCATAACCACCATTCTCACCTCCACAACCACCATAGCATCCCCACCCCACCAGCGCTACTCTGTGTATTGCAGCAAATAACCACCATCTTTACCACCCAAAAATCACCACCACCGTGTATTCTTACAAATTAACCCCCCATAGCCATGGTGGTTGACAGAAATTTAGCCTCAACCACCACAATATGTAGCGCCACAACCTCCACTCCCACCCCCGCAACCACCACCATTCCCACAATTGATCCAATGTGAGATCAAAGTCGAAAGAGGACGATAGTGAGGAATCGAAGGGGGTGTGCGGGTTGGATAGAGTTAAAGGTAATAACATTTCATGTAATAATAAGGGTAGTAAGTAATCTCTTATTATTATGATATCATTTTTTTATATGTTTATTTATATATATACAACATAAACCAATGAGAATAAGAAAAATAATTCCAATATTATAGAACATTGTTACCTTAGTAAGTCTTATTTACTTATTTTCTCTTAAGTTATAATACTACTTAATTATATAAGACTTGCCCCATGGGCATAGCAGTGTTGGTAGGGATCTAGGGGGTAATTTTTGAGATCTCGCTTTCGAACCACACTCCTGACTGTGCGAGCGCTCGCACAGTGCTTTTGGAGCGCTCCTAGGTCCTTTTAAGGCACATTTTTTGAAGGCACAACGGAAGCATTTAATAAATTTTCAGGAACATATCCACATGATATTTCATCAAATCAATTAATATGGTAAAGGAAACTTATACCTTTGGATGATTGATTAATCGTTAACACTACAAGAATAAATTGGTTCTCCTTTAACCTTGAACACCAGTTAACCTTCACCTCTATATCCTTGGACTACACAGGTTTGTGGAAACCCTATATCCCTCACTCTCGTTATTCTATATTCTGTAAAATTGTATCTCAATTACCAAATCTCAACCTGAGAGATATATCGTGTATTTAGATAGGGCTAGAGATAATGATCAAAATGGATTCTTATCCTAGCTTCAATTAGATAGAGATAGAGTTATCTCATAACTCTATCATATCTAATTAATTACAATAAACACCACAATAATATTGTAATTGTACTCTAGGATTTAGAAATTACAACAAGGCCCTTTTATACTAAATAACTATATATAAGTCCCTCCACTACTGAATATCCATAAGTAGCCCATAGGAAAATAAATATTGTCCCACCTAAGGCATGCTTACTTCTTATATTCCTTGAGTAACCAATTTAATCCTTATGATCACTGAATTTCTTTTATAAAAGAATTTTTAAAATAAATATTTTTCTAAATAAATAATTTAGTAAACATTTTACTAAAATGCCCTGACCAGGTTCCAGTGATCAAACTTATTAAATTGCATCAAGGGGATATTCTAACTCTTATAAAGAGTATGGATTCCATGCTGAGCATTTGTGTTCCCAGAGCTCCAACATCAGCCACCCAAGATACCATGATATTAATCTTAAAAGATCTCACATGTTGGTAAGTCAAAGTGACCAATACTGAAACTTGAGTCCACTAAACCTTTCAGGATTTAAAGCTTAATGTATTTAGTAGATAAGAATCACACCAAAATAATAACAGTAATTTGTATGGTGTGATCTTATGATGATCCAGTTCAGTGTACTCCAAGCACACTAACATACTGCCTTAGAGTCAACTACCCTAATGGTCGATTCAAACCATCCTATCTTATAGAGGTAAAGTGTGTTACAGTCTTACAGATAAAAGTACCCAACTTTTATCACTGACTGTGAACAATGCCAAGGTGCAAGAAACCGGTGAGCCCAAATCTCCTGCATGTAAATCTCATTTACACACTTAAGTCACATATAATGCAACTTGAGCACAATAATGCATCTCATGCAAATATATGTAAAGCCTAATGTATGATATCATATTTATAAATAAAATATCGAATTAATATTAATTAATTGACTTGTAGGGCATATAATCCCAACAATCTCCCACTTGCACTCAAAGCCAATTACCATTACATCTAACACCCATCCCTTCAATATGAGACTCAAAAACCCTAGTTGGTAAAGTCTTAGTGAAAGGATCTGCAAGGTTATTTGCAGATGCAATCTTAGTGACAACAATATCCCCATACTGAACTATTTCTTTAAAACACCACCACGCTTTCATCACTCTTCTTATATACACAAACCCCATTCAGATTCTAAACAAACCGAATGTTTTGTGTCACAATCATTTGTAACCTTTTCATAAGTATAGAGGGATCTTGCTCTTCTGGGATCACCTCATTAGACTTTCCCAAGAGCATTAACCTATCATATGGCCTGATAACCCTCCCACTACGTTAAGGTTTCGATATAATAAGAGATTCTGGACTCGTAGTTTCTGATGTCTCAATTATTTCAGTATCATATAAGGAGTGAGGTATAAGAGTAATTAAATAAAGACTATCCCTCAATATACCAGAATAAATAAACCTTTTATTTTTATTTATTAAAACTTCTAAATTAAAAATATTGAAAACCTAGATTTTGAAAAAACTGAAATAGAAATCAAATATCTTCTACTCTTTAGTACATAAAGACAATATTTAATAATAAACTCCTATCATTTATTTCAAAATAACTACTCCTACTGATATTGCCACTACCCTTGCTTGTGAAGCAAGATGAAGATAGATATCTTCCCTTCACTCAGTCTTCTGGTTTCCTGGAACTCCTACAATAAATTGCAAACATGGTTAGTAGCTCTAGAATCTAAAAACTAGGTATCCGTAGATCCAACCACATATCATGTCTGAATAATGAGTGACTGAAGCATACCTTCAGAGTGCTTCTTTGCTAGATACACCCGACAATTCGTTTTCCAGTGTCCTTCTTTACCACAATGGAAACAATTTCCTTTGATTTTAGCCTTTCCCTTAGCCTCGACAATTCCACCACTAGTATCAACCTTTTTGGGGACAGTGGAACCTTGCTTCTTATTATGGTTCTTGCCTTTCGGCTTTCCATGAGAAGAAGAACCATTTTCCACTGTATGAACACTCCCTTGACCCTTAAAAATACCTTCTGCAGCTTGCAGAGCATTCATCAATTCTGATAAAGAATAAGCCATACTATTCATAGAATAATTTAGTTTGAATAGATTGAATGACTCTGGCAATGATTGCAAAATTATATCAACCTGGGTCTCACCATCTATGTCTGCCAGTTCATTGAAATAAGAAATCATTTTAAAAAGGTGTTCGCCAACTGGAGTTCCTTTGGGCATACGAGCGTTCATAATCTGTTTCATTGCGACTTGTCGTGCCGCTCTACTTTGTTCCCCAAACATTTCCTTAAGGTTCAACAAAATGTCATGAGCATTGACAAAAGACTGATGCTGATGTTGTAAAACATTTGACATTGAAGCTAAAATATAGCACTTGGCCATTTCATCAGCCTTTTGCCAATTCTCATACATTTTTTTTAACTTCTAGCTGTCATCAGGGCCAGGCATAGGAGGGCACTCTTGAGTGAGCACAAATTTGTACTCCTGTGCAATAAGAACAATGTGAAGATTTCTCTTCCAGTCAACATAGTTTGACTCGGTTAATTTGTTGTCCTTAAGTATAGTAGCAAGTGGACTGAAAACATTCGACATCTGAAATATAAACATTCATGCATAAATAAAAGTGCATACATTCTAAAACAAAAATTAAACTTTAGTTTTCATATAGTGTGATACTCCTTGGATCCGAGACACGGGTTGATCAGGCCCAGGCCCAAACCCGAGGGAATATCAAATAATTAAAGTATTTTAAAACGAACACAGAATAGAAATTTAAGAATTTAAATAAAGAAACCAAAAGAAATATAAAATCCTCCAAACAATAATAATAATAATACTCAAATCTTCCAAAATCTCCAAGAGCACAACTCGGGAATCCAACTAGTGGACCCCTAAATAATATCCCAACTGAACTGAAAACTGAAAATAATTTAAGCTAGAATCATCGAGAGAAGTCCTACGTAAACAGATGAATGTGAGACTGTCCTCAACAAGCACGATCAAGCTCTAAGGCTAGAACCATCCTGCACCTTAAAAGAATAATAGAAGAGTGGGTCAGGCTCACGAGCAAGTTCTAATCTAACTGCAATCCATACAGTGACCCGATACGCAGATACACCGTAGATACCTCATAAAATCTATCTAGTCCATACATATATATATCCACACTAAAGACATTCACTGGACTACAGTAGGGGTCTCAACCTGAATAGAAGGCAACATGCGAATACGCACCCAAGGGTGGACATGAGTACCTAGACCTAACAGGGTACACCTCAAACTACTATAGCCAACTACGCATCCACTGCATATACGCACCCTAACCAACGGTCCGAGACTCAAGCTCATCTCGTGGTATCATAACCATATATTTAAAATCCGTCCAACAGAGTATATCATTCAATAGTTCATTGAGCTGACACACAATACACAAACCAGTTAGTTACTCAACTTATTCAGTTGATATGACTTAACTACAAACCAATTAATCCAGGAAGCCATTCAACTTAGTCGTTGTTGATCTGACTTAGTCACAATTAGGATTTAATATTCTTCAATCCATTTCTTTAATCCATTAGGTTAGGTTTAGGCGTTT